CCCCCCCCCGACCCCGTCTGCCGGCTGCAGTGAGGACTCGACGCTGAGACCTGGGCCGGGCAGCTCCCCACCCACCTGGATGGGCGACATTTGCGCGTAGCCCCTCCAGCCGAAGCTCTCGAACTCGAGGGGGTTGAAGCCGAAGCGCGCGGTGCGGCCCTCGGGCGTGGCTGCCTCCTCCAGCTCCAGGCGTAGGTCATGTAGGTCAGGGAGGTAGTGGTCCCGCGCCGGCCTGGCCACGACAGGGGCGGTCAAGGGCAGTCCCCCGGGGCCCCTACCGGACGAGCTGCCTCTCCGGCCCCCTGCCCTCCAGCCCCCGGGGTGGGGCACCCACTCGGCACAGGTGAGGCCCTGGGTGTTGGGGCGGCACCGGCAGGCGCCCGTCCGCGAGTCACAGCCCTGTCCCAGCGCACCGCCAACGTCACACCGGCAGCCTGCGATGGGAGGGAGCCAAGTCAGTGCTGCCCACCCCCAGCCGGCCTTGGCGCTTTTCCCACACGGGGCCCGGGCCCCTGGGGCTCGGTCTACCATCTGCAGAGAGCAACGGGGCCACAAAGTCCACTCCCACGACCCACAGGGGTCGCCTGGGGCTCCGGACAGTGATGAGACCCTGGGGCCGACTAGTGACTTCTGCCAGGGGCACAGGAGAGAGAGGGCGGCCCCCGTGCCCAGCACAGGCCTGGCCAGGCTTTCGGAGGCTGCCCGACAAGTGCCCGCACGACAGCCAGGCCCTCCCCGCGGGACGCAGTCACTCACTGCGGCAGCCAAAGTAGTCAGCTCGGTCCAGCCCGAAGAAGCCGTCCCGGCACGCTGCGCAGGCCTGGCCACACACGTGAGGCTTGCAGGAGCACTGGCCGTCGCCCTGTGGCCGGGCGAAAAGGTGAGACCGAGCAGGGAGGGTCGGGATGCGCCTGCCCCACAGCCCCCAGGCACCTCGGCCCCCAGACTCACCGGCCGGCATTCGGCGACTCCACCCAGCGTGCCCCGGGGATCACAGCTGCAGCCTAGGGGAGAGGCAGAGCGGGCCTGGACCCTGCGGGGCTAGCACTCGCCTCCCTACACCGCTCCCGTGCCCCAGAGCCTCCCCAACACTCCGACACCCACCCACCCCCAGACTCACGGGTGCAGCCCTCGGGGTTGCTGGGACTCAGCCCCCAGAACCCGGGTTTACAGCGATCGCAGCTCGGCCCCTCCACATGAGCCCGGCACGTGCAAGGGGCCTGTGCCTGGGAGAAGATGAGACTGAGGGTCGGAATGGGTCCCTGCCCTTCTACCCGAAACCCTTGGCCCTGGAGCCCCGACCCTGCCCCATCTCGGGCATGTCCCTGGGATGCAGACTGAGGACCAGCCAAGGGAACAAACGGGCCCTGAGGTTGCCAAGGCGACAGGGCAGCAGGGGAAGCGACGGTCTCCCTGGAGGTGACAGGCTGAACTCCACTGAGGGCTGACCTGGGCTCACCTCAGGACGAGTGTGATCGGCCGGGGCCAGGCCGGCAGGGTGGCAGGACCCGGCTGTGGGGAGACACGGGCTCTGGTCACTTCTCAGTCACTGACTCAGGGCCGAGGGCTTCCCCGGGCCCGGCCAGGACCCACGGCTCCGTGGGAGCCAGCACACGTGCCTCCCACTCATGTGAACAGGCGTGCAAACACGTGCAGGGTGCCTCTGTGCTCTGGTTCCCTCGGCTACAAAGACACGTGCCCTCCCCTGCCACAGGGAACATGCAAACGTGTGAACACACGCTGTAGGCGCACAGAGCACGTGAACACGGTGAGGGAGCACGCGCTTCCAAGAACAATCACGTGAAAACGTGTGCGCGCACTCACGAGGCCCACAGACGCACATACGTGGCACGCGGGCCCCGACGTGAGCACAGTGCGTGAACGGCCACACGAACGCACGCGTGAACACACACAGCGCGTGGACGGGCGTGGGCACGCAGGAACGAAGGGGCAACTGCACGGACCACGCACCCGCGCCGGCCTCACCTTCACAGGAGGGGAAGTTGTAGGCGCCGGGCACGCAGGCGTCACATCGCAGCCCCGTCACGTGGGGCCGGCAGCTGCACTGCCCGCTGCGGGGGTCACAGGCCACGTGCAGGGAGCCCTCGGCGGAGCAGCGGCAGGCTGGGTGAGAAAGGCAGGGTGTGGGCGGGCAGGAGGGACGTGGCCGCCCACCCTCCCCCCGCGAGGACACTCACGGGCACAGTGGGGGAAGCCGTGGAAGCCGGGGCTGCATTCCTGGCAGGTAGCGCCCGTGTAGCCGGGGCGACAGAGGCACACGCCCCCTGCCCCGCAGAGCTGGTCCAGGGCACCCCGGGGGTCGCAGGTGCAGGCTGCAGGTGACACGGGGTTAGGCCCGGGGCGCCTGCGGGTGGCCCTCCCGCTCCACCCGGGGCCCCGCCCTGGCCCTCCGCTCACCGTGGCAGTCGGGGTAGCCATGGTGGCCCGGGCTGCAGCGGTCACAGTGAGGGCCGTCGAACCCTGGCCGGCACGGGCAGCGGCCGGCCTCATCACAGCCCTCCGGCAGGGTCCCCACGGGGCTGCAGCCACACACTATAGAGGGAAGGAGCACATGGGGGCCCCCTGAGCCAGGCAGGCCACACCCTGGGCCCCACACACCCCCGCGCCCGCTGGGGTGGCCTCGCTCACGCTGGCAGAGAGGAAAGTGGAAGTATCCCGGGGCACAGCGGTCACACGCGGCCCCCTCGAAGCCCTCCCGGCACACGCAGTGGCCCGAGTCAGGGTCGCAGTCCCCATTCACCACTCCGGGGCTGGAACACCGGCAGGCTGCAGGGAGGGGTGGCCACACTCAGTCAGAGAGGGCGCAGGCTCCGGGGGCCCGCACGAGGACAGACACGGGGCCACACTCACGCTGGCAGCTCGGGCCGTAGAACCCCGGGGCACAGAGCTCGCAGTGGACGCCCTGGAAGGCGGGTTTGCACACGCAGCGTCCCACCCGCGGGTCCTTCCGGCAGGCGTTGCCCTGGGTCCCGGCGGCGCTGCAGTCACAGTCTGGGGGGTGAGAGGGGAGTCTCAGGCGCCTCGCAGACCCCACCCCTCCCCGCCGGAAAACCTCTTCTCTCAGCAAACTCTCCTTACGCCTCATGCGCTCATACAAGAACGAAAGGACAAAAATCCCAAGAAGGCAAAGCCCACGTTTCTGGAAAACTGCAAGCAAGGAGATCAGGACGGCTGTAGTCCGGGTAAGTAGTCGTCGCTGACACAGCTAAGTCAACCGCAGGCATTCGCCCCACCAGAGAAAACGTACAAACAAAATCATAGAGAACGCTGTAGTCTTTATAAGTAACTCTGTGGGTTGGAGAGAAGGAAGAAAAGTGAGCCAAACGTCTCAACTTACGTCTGAGAAAAGGTCGTAAATACTATTTAATTTTTGTCGCTTGTAGAAGATAATAGTTTGATACTTGTCAGAAATGGAAGGGTGACCCCGGGCCAGATGAGGAGACAAAAACGGAGCTTGTGACCCCCGAGAAGGAAACACAAACCGTGCAAAACCAAAACACGTTCTGTTGCCCAATCTGGCCAAACGCGGGAAGGAAAGACCCCGCGGGAGGAGAGGGGACACAGCCAAGAGCAGCAGCCCCGACCGAGGCCACGTCCCTGCCGGCCACGTCTCCTTTCACGAGATAAAGCTCAGAGGCCTCCGTTCGGCTCCTGAATAAAGCCAAGGGCCACTGGCACAGTGCAGTCGCAGCAACAGCCTGCCCTAGACGCGTTCCCGTGAATCAAAACCACCCCTGGTTGAGACCCAATGCTGCACATCTTGCTGTAACTAAGACAGAATGAAAATAAGAAGTTCAAGAAGTGATTCAAACAGCAACAAAAGAAAGTAAAAAAAAACCAAAATACCGTGTGATCTCACTTATACGTGGAATCTAGAACAGAAACAAAAAACCAAGCTCACAGATACGGAGAACACGATGGCGGCTGCCGGGCCAGGGGTGGGAGAAAGGTGTGAAGGTGTCCAAAGGCATAAGCTTCCAGGTGTGAAAATGACAAAGCTGTGGGGCTGTGATGTGCAGTTCACTGTGCTGGATGGCATATTGGAAATTTGCTAAAAGATCTGAAAAGGTCTCATCATGAGGAAAAAGTAATTCTGTAATTGTGTAGTGACAAGACGCTAAGCACGCTTACCGTGGTCATCGTTTCGCAATATGTGCAAATATCAAACGAAGACGTTGTCCACCTGAAACTCCCCGGATGTTGAACATTAACTACACTTCAATTTTTTTTTAAAAAGAAGTAGAAGGAACGAAAGATTTTAATTCAAGGTTTTCAATATTAGGAAACAAAATCTCTCCCCCAAACTACAAAGAAAAAAACTCCAGCAGGTCTCATAGGTGGAATCTTAAGCTGTGTTTTGGAAACGCCAATAAATTAAGCAAACTTCCAGGAGAGGAAGAAAGGAAAAGAAAGAAAATGAAAACAGACAATGAGAGAAACGAAAGGGAAGGTAGAAATCATGACAGACCGCTGTGTGTGGCTCTATACCACTACGTTTTAAAATCCAGGGGCACCTGGGTGGCTCAGTTGGTTAAGCATCCAACTCTTGATTTCGGCTCAGGTCTATACTGACAGTGCTGATCGTGCTTGGGATTCTCTTTCTGTCTCTCTCTGCCCCTCCCCTGCTCACAGTCTGTCTCTCTCAAAAAAAAATAAACTTAAAACATCTTTAATAAAAAACAAAACAAAACCAAATGACATAAGCAATTTGCTAAGAAATATAAATGACCAGAATGGACTTAGGCTGAGGCAGGAAATCAACAGATACAAAACCACGGGAGGAACAAGAACCACAGTCGAAGACTTCCAGTAAACAACAGGTGTCAGGGCCCGTGCTCTCAGAAGCCCTATCAAACTTTTAAGAAATGGGTAATTCCCGTGATATTTAAACCGCCCAAGCGAGGGTCATTTCCCAAGTATTTTACAAAATGAATTACAAAATGAAAACAAGATGGCACACACACCAGAGAAAAACACCAAGAAAACCCTCAACCGGTCTCCCCGACAGATACAGACACAAAGGTCTGCGTTAGGAAAGACACAATAGGGGCGCCTGGGTGACTCAGTCGGGTCAAGCGTCCGACTTCGGCTCAGGTCATGATCTCACACTCTGTGAGTTCGAGCCCCGCGTCGGGCTCTGTGCTGACAGCTCGGAGCCTGGAGACGGCTTTGGATTCTGTCTCCCTCTCTCTCTGCCCTTCCCCTGTCTCACGCTCTCTCTCGATAATAAATAAACGTTAAAAAAAAATTTAGGAAAGACACAACGGAATTCCTTGGACAAGGAGCAGACTGCCCTGAATACCCCACCAGCATGGCCTTCATGGAGCACCAACCCTGGGCCACAGGGACCGGAGGGCTTTTGGGAGTTATGCTGGGGCTCAGCAAACTGTAGTCCAAGGGCTTGGCTCCCCTGCCTGCTTTGCAAATAAAGCTTTATTGGAACACAGCCAGGCCCATTCACGTTCACACAGTCCACACCGCTTTCCAGCTATGGCACACGACAGCGGGGTTCACGAGTCACGAAAGGACACCTGGCCCTCAAAATCAAAGGCAGGCCCTGTCTGGTCCTTTCTGGAAGAAGTCTGTTGACCGCTGTTTATGCCACTGACGAAGAACAGACATTTAAATGTAAAGAAGGGACCGTCAAAGACCAAGCGACACAAGAATAAGTGAGTTTAGGGCGCACCACCTCCATACGACTGAGTCAGAGGCAAGAAGTGTCGACAGAACCACCGGAGGGTTGAAACGGCAGCACAGGAGAGAAGAGTCCCCAAGACACAAGGCAGAGGACCCTGCCGGTGGAGACACCGGCATGTGAGCCACACATCATTTGCTGAGCGTGCAGAGAGCTCAGCCCCGCCAGCAACGTGGATGCCGTTACGGAAGAAAAACGCCTGCCCATCAGACTGGGACACACCATCTGCTGAAAGGCGCGCCTGATTCCAGAAAGACAAGGGGGAGGCAATCTCTGACAGGTGAGTGTCCTGCCAGCTGGGCTGACGGTCGCAAGCAGCTTGTGTCGCTGCGGTGATGCCCTGAGCGGCCGCTGATGCCGCTAACGTGACCGCACCGGACACTATTTCGTTTCAGAGAGCGGTTTGGCAACCTGCAGCCAAAAATGTCCCCGAACATGCATGTCTAGTGACTCAGAACCTTCTAGGAAATCGTTCTGCAGAAATGATTGAGAATTCATGGAAAGTTTTAGCTACAGGGATGTTTATCGTAGCATTTTTTTTTTTAATTGGAAAGAACCTAAATTTCTAACAATTGGGAGTGAAGTAAACGCTACATCTGTTGGGATGACACGGAACACGGAGGGACACGTCTGCAGGACCACAGCGGCCACAGCGGGTGGAAACACAGTTACAAAGCTCATGTACACGTGGCTGTCTGCAGAAGTGTGCAGGCACACAGAGAGGTCCTGGCTGTAGGAAGAGGGCTTATTTGTAAACGGCGCAATCTCGGTTATCTTTTTTTTTCTGCTTTATACTTACCCATCCTTCTGGAAAGTTTT